TTCCCCTCAACCTGCGGCTGGTTTGCTTAGGTGCTACCTTACGAAAATAATCAGAGACGCAGAAGGTCCCTGTACCACTCAGGAATGGAACTGGGATCCACTTARTGTTCAGTAAGGTTGAATGGCTGAAAAGTACTTAATGTTTGGTGAGCTTTATAAGTAATGGCATAAGGAAATGCTCATGATAAAATTTGGGGGGAAAAAAAGCAGGCTAAAACCTAGCCCTTGCTGTGCGTGCGGCACCTGAGTGCGAGCTCCCAGAGGGCCGGTCGGCATGGCCTGGAGGCACTGAGCTGGTTTCTGCCTCGCACATTCCTGCCTTCTGCAGTTTGTACTGAGCATGAAGCTGCCCTGTGTCCAGGGYGGTCCTAGAGAAACCCACCCTGACTGCAAGTGCAGCCTGTGCTGCAGTGACACACGGGCTGGGGCAGTCTGGCTCAGCGCCTTGGCCGTCAGCACGCGTATATGCAGCGGGGAAAGCAAGAGGCAGGACAGGAAGGAGAAAGCAGGCACTGGAACTTACAGAGTGAACATCCATGCAAGTCTTGAGYAAGCAGGGTAGCCAGTTAGACCTGGCGCAGACAGAGAACCGTCCTTAGAGCCATGGTAGCGCTGTTCAGAAGCCAGCACGTTCACCTGTAGCAGAGGTTGGCTTCCTGAAACAGGCCTGGGGGGGGGGGTGACTTTTGGAAGGTAGCTGAGGACCTGGAGGCCTGCCCTTATTACTGCATGGTGGTGGTGGATGTGGTGGCCGTGGTGGCCGTGGTGGCCGTGGTGGTTGTTTCTGGAAGGCAGTGAGCAGCTCTTCAGGCAGTGCTTGGATGCTGCCTCTTCTCCATCATCGATGTAAGATGAAGGAGGAATGGTCTAGTGCCCAGAGCATGTTTCTCTTGAACTTGGGATAAACTGACGTTTTCCGAAGGGTTGGCTTTTCTCCTGGGCACCACGGAGCGGGAGCCGCCCCAGCATGCAGGGGCGGGGCAGGTTCCCAGCAGTGAGGGCTGTAAAGCGACTGGTCCTGCCAGGAGTGCTTCCCGCAGCAGTGTTGAGCGCTGCTTCCATGCACCTGAGGCCAGTGTCCACCCTGGGACCATCACCAGCTGCAGGAGTGTCTGAGTTCCCTCCCACGGGAGGTCGGAGGCTTGGACACTGCAGATGAGAGTAGCTGAGGGGCCCCTGCAGGAYTCCTGCCCCACTCAGAGGCAGCAGGCAGTAGTTGTGGAATAAGTAAGCCGCTGTTTTCCKCTGACCCTGCCAGGTATGCGAGCACACGCTGTCAGTGGGTGCAGCTTGRAATGACCGCTGTCCAGTCCTGGTTGAGAGCACAGTCACCCTCATTGTCAGTGTGTCCATCACACCTTGGCRACCAAAGTCTTAGGGCTAGGGACYAATGTGGCTTTCCTTCACAGGGATTAGAAACCTTTCTGACTGCACAAGAGTGAGCGGGGCAGTTTTTATCTTGTGATTTTTTACAGGAACATTTTCTACTTTTTCTGAATGGTAGGCTATTGGGCATTCTTTTTATTAATTTAATTCATCATCTAGTGGCATGTTTGTGTAATAGAATGCATTAAGAACTTTTTTTAGTTGCCTGCTTCTTCACAGGTAAACTAAAAATAGGGCTTTTTTTGTGTATGTGTGTGTGTGTGTGTGTATATATTTAGCTGTTGTTGGACCTTTATTTTATTCATTTATTTATACGCGGTGCTGAGAATCAAACCCAGTGCCTCACACGTGCTAGGCAAGTGCTTCACCACTGAGCTGCAGCCCCAGCCMAATAAAAATAGTTCTAAGGCCAAGATTGGATCAAGAGGAGTGAGGAACCCAAACCCCAGACTACATCAGACTGCGTACAGAACTGAGCATTCACCAGGGAACAAGATGTGGCCCACAGTGACAGCAGGGTGTCCAGATGGTGAGTGGGATGAGGACCCAGGACGTGGCCCCMGTGGCAGCTCCTGCCGGGCCCTCACCACTCGGATCAGTTTCTTAGAGGTCTGTGCCACCAGAGGACCTTGTCATGGTGTGGCTCACCTTCAGCTGAGGAGGCAGCTTTCCTCCCCGCAGCGTGGTCTGTCAAAGCTCGTGCCTACCACAGGACCACAGAGCCCAGTTAAAAACTGTCTGCTCTCTGCTTAGAGAAAAAGATTTATTGAATTTTGTTCTGATTATAAAAGTAATATGACTTTTTTTTTCTCAGTTGGCAGATTTCAAAGACTGATTCTATCCCAAGGTTGGTTCGCAAAGGGGCAGGGCCACAGGTGCCCTGGTGCTGTGGCTATGTGGGCAACACCGCCTCCACAGCAGCACTTGGCCACGGCTGTCAGAATCCTGAAAGAGCCCACGCGGGGGTGTGCGCCTGTGATCCCAGTGACRGGGCAAGTTGAGGCTTGCCTGGGCAACCTAGACCCAATCTCACATGTTTTTAAAAGGATTGGTAGTGTAGCTCAGTGGTAGAGCACCCTGGGTTCAGTCCCCTGTGCTGCCAAAAAAAAAAAACCAGAAGGAGAGAAAGACTTGCCAGTGCGCATGCTCTCAAAACCAGCAGTCCTGCTCTGAGGACTTAAAACCTCTGAGATACATGTGTATTAACATCTGCCCAAAGACACTCACCACATTTGGATTTGCGTTGCTTGTAATAGCCAAAGTCAACATGAGAGTTCATTCAAAATGCTGCCTCTGTGTAGTAGAGCTCCGTGCTCCGTGCGATCCATGTGTGCCTCTGGGAGCCTGGGGCACATGCCGCAGCTGTCCACGAGCCCAGCCRCTAGTCATCTGGAAGTGGAGGAGTCAGGGACAGGGACTGGGTTTGTATTATAAACTTCTGGGTGACTTGAAATTTTTAGAAAAACATTTATTAGTTTTATAACTTAAAACAGGTTAAAATATAATTTTGATTAGAAAAAGAGCTTGAAGAGATGGTAAAGTTATTTCAAGGCACTACCTGTGGAGTAGAGCTGGACCCCAGCTGAGCAGCGACCCCCTTGGTGCTCCCTGCATAAGGAACATGGCCCTCACGCCCCGACCTGTGCTCAGAACACCGCCGTGGGCCCTGAGGGTCCTCGCAGAACTTGCCCTGCCATCAGTTAGATCTGCATCCAAGAAGCTGGTTCTTCAGGTGCATTAGTAAGAGCTGGGAAAACAGAAACAGAGGAAGTGGAGGTCACCTCGAGTACAGGTGTGCACTCGCTCCTGAGGTCTCCTCCCCCTCCTGATGGTCCACGGCTATACTCTGCAGCCCGCATTCTTCATTTCCATGGCAACCCTGGGCACCTTCTTACATCTCAGATGACCTTCCCACAAAAGTGGCTTCACAGCTAACTCCCCCAACTACAGAGATTGGTAATTAAAGACCTTTCAGTGAAGAAAGCTCTAGACCTGAGGAGTTCACTGAAATTACACCAAACCTTTATGGAAAGGGACATACCCACTTTACACAGAAAGTGAAAGAGAGAACACTCCCCAACTCGTTCTGGGAAGATAGCGTTCCTCTCCCACTAGAATCAGACCAAGAATCACAGGAATGACAGCTGAAAACCAACGTCTCTTGTGAACATGGCCAAATCCTCAGAGTGACATCCACAAGTCCAAAGCAGCAGCAATGCCGTGGTGACCAGGTGGGCCCTCTCCCCATGAGACAAAGCTGGCTCAGCAGAGACTGAAGAAGAGCCACATGGTCACCTCAAGCCATTCATGGTAAGAACTCACCAGCTAGGAGTAAAGGACACCTGCCCAGCAGTGCTCTTCAGGGCACTCAGCACAGGACTGGGTGCCTCTTCTCTAAAATCAGGGGCAAGGCCAGGCCATCTCATCCCACCGTTTAATAGCCTACCAGAGGTCCTGGACGGCAGGGAGGCATAGAAGGAAACACATGCTTGCAGATAGGAAGGGTAGAAAGAACCCTCTCTGTTCTCGGACGTTATTTGTGTCTAAAAAGTTACAGATAATCTACAAAAGGAGCTGTGGTGAGTTTAGTAAAAGTTTGCAGAATACAGGTATTATGTATAATCAATGGCATTTCTATAAGAAGTAACTAGTACTGCTTACAAAAAGCTCCAAAACAGTACCATTTGTAAAAGCACCACAAAAACCTAGGTATAAATTTAAAAGGAAATCCATATGCTAAAATTGATGAACACTGATGGAAGAAATCAGAGAAGACCTAAATAAATGGGGACCACGTACATGGACCTGAAGACAGTGATGTGGAGATGCCAGAACTCCCTCGGCTGATGGTAGACGCAGGCCGTCCCAGTCGACATTCTAATGAAATTTTWAAAAAATTGACAAGCTTATTATGAAATCTGTAGGAAACAGCAAAGAAACTAAAATGACCTTAGAACATTGAAATTGAAGGAGAATTAGATGCTTCACACTCTGATGTCAAGACCCTGTGTAAAGTTGATCAGAACAGTGTGGGATTGGGGCAAAACAGACACACAGATGAACAGGACAGAACAGAGAGCCCAGAAGTAGATCTGCACAGACATGTTCAGTTGACTCTCAAGGAATGTGTGAAAACAGTGCCGTTCAATGAAGTTTTCAGCAAGCAGTGCTATGTCCCAAGAAAGGGCTTCGCTCMACACTTCACCCCTGCACACCAGCTACACAAAGTGAACACCCCAACTGCAAGACTCCTGACCTTAGAACCTCTAGAAGGAACAAGAGAACCTTCCTGACTTTGCATTAAGATACAGGAGGCATAAGCCACACGGTCTAGTGGCACACTGAACTACATCAAAATCAAACACTAGCTTTGAAACATACCATTGAGAAAAGGAAAGACAGGCAATGACTGAAAACTGCCAAGCATACGTCTGACACAGACTTGCATGTGGTATGCATAAGAACTCTCAGAATCCCACAACTGGGAAAATGCAGCCCAGTTAAAGAATGGTGGCGAAAGACTTGCATGGTCCTTGCCCAGGTGAGACACACAAGTGGCAGATGATCACACGGAGGACCACCGCAGAACCGACCTGCACTCAAGGCAAGATTGGACTAGCCAGGGATGGGAAGCCACTGGCGTGCCCCTTCTTGGCTAACACGGGTGTGTAGGCACTTGGGGGACATTTGGCTGCTTCTCATAAAGTTAGGAGCACACCCCAGCAACCCACAGAGGAACCTAAGAAGTTCATGCAGAAACCTATATGTGGATCTCACAGTGGCCATGTACATAGTCACCAAAGCTAGAAGCAACTCAGACGCACACCCCCAGCAGACAGAGGAGCCAACACAGCCATGCAAGGGCTACCAGTCAGCAGACGAGTCCCAGAGGGCTGCTGGTACGCACAGCAGYAGGGCCATCACAGGCCCGAATGGAGTGGTCCCTTCACACAGCTCCCGGAACAGGCACAACAGGGTTGGAAAACAGGCCAGGGGTTGCCAGGGCCTGGGGCTGAAGGGAGGTCTCGTTAGGGATGCAGGAACTGTCTCTGTCCTGAGCAGGGCTGGTTCTAGGATCCTGGAATTTGCAAAACCCACAACTGTCTAGAGGAGGTGCATTGGATCTCTGTGAGCCACACTCTAGGGGATAGGCGCTCTCTTCTCTTACGCGAGGTCATACTTAAGGAAAAGCACAGCCAGTGAGGTAAGGACCCTTGTTGTTGGTATAGACGTCGTGCGCTCCAGGGGTCCGACAGGCCCCCTCCAGCAGTGCTCCTGGAGGGGCTCAGGCAGGATGTGGAGTCAGTGGGCACTGCTGCCTGCTACAGCGGCAAACACACTGTGTGGCTTCTTGTAAAGGATGGAGGGTTGGAACTGGGTCACGTACTCCCCCATGTCTGGTGTGTYGACCTGAGGGCTCAGCCCCTGGAAGAGCACCAGTGTCCTTCCAGCAGGTCCCTCTCCCCTGAGCTTTACCCAGCCTCGCCATTCTCCACAGTCCTGTTCCTGTTCTGGATCGCATCCCTCACCCCTTGAGCCTTTTTTTTTAATACTTATTTTTAGTTGTTGATGAACCTTTGTTTTATTTGCTTATTTATATGTGGTGCTAGGAATCGAACCCAGTGCCTCACACGTAGGAGGCAAGCACTCTTCCACTGAGCTACAACCCCAGCCCCTTGAGCCTTTTTAAATGCAAAGGTCTGAAAATGAGGCCCAGCTGCAAGATGTGCGGGTTCTCCTGCCAGGACCCTTCTGTGACATGCCCCCAGTTGCTGCCCCACAGCCTTCTGGGACCCCTCATCTTCCTCAGATCACAAGCCCAAGGGTTTCTATTTGGTTTTCCCATTTTTTGCAACCGGAAAGGAGCTGGCTTCCTGGCTTTCAGCTGTCGCACCTCTGTGGGAGGCTGCAGAGCTGTAATTGGTTTCTGTCTGAGGAGAAGCCAAGAGGTGCCAAAGTCGCGGTGTCATGATCCTAATCACGTAGCAGCGCTGTTCCGCCACCCACAGCCCCCAGGAGCTCCTCCCTCCTGTTTACCAGAGCGCTTTCTCCCAGAGGGACACAGGAAGAGGGACAGCAGGGATTAAGAACCACCACAAAGGACAATAGTCTCTTGGCCAACTTCCTCTTTTCTGTCCTGAAGTGTCCCCAGCAGTTGGTGCCACTGTCCTCAGGGCGCCCTCTGTCGCCTCCCATCTCTCTGCCCACCCACCGTCTCCCTGCCTCTCCCTGCACCTCCTCTGTCCTTTCTTACCCTCCATCTGTGGGCCTGCAGGCTCCCCTCCGAGGGCTCGCCTGGGGGAAGCTGCAGTCTGGGGCCTGGAGACTCTCGATGCYGCTGGTTGGAGATGGCCTGGCCACCTCAGATGCACTCCAGGTGCCCCCACCACAGAGAGCTGGTCAGGGGCCTGGAACTCGGTCCCCTCACGTCCCCTCAGCACCTACGAGGCCTCCTTCTCCAGTTTGCCTCCTCTGCACGGGCTTCACTCGTTCTCCAGGTTTCTCCTTGTTATTGCTCTACATTTCTGGTCATTTGTTTTTTGTTTGTTTTTTTTTTTTTTTCCAAATAAGCTCTGGATTGTCACAAAAGAAACCCATTATTATGAATCCACAACCCAGGGCCTGGGGATGTGGCTCAAGCGGTAGCGCGCTCGCGTGCGGCCCGGGTTCGATCCTCAGCACCACATACCAACAAAGATGTTGTGTCCGCCGAGAACTAAAAAAGAAATATTAAAAATTCTCTCTAAAAAAAAAAAAAAAAATGAATCCACAACCCACCCCTGCCATCCTGGGGCCGATCCTCGGCTGGCCCGAGCCAGGGAGCCCTGGGTACCTCTTCCTGTTGCTGGGTTTGGATGTCCTCCTTTTTGTTGTTGCTTTTTTTGTTGGGCTTATGTTTTGTGATTTTTAAGAAGAAAAACACAGTGATAAAATGCTGGAGAACAAGCCGTGGGCCCCCTGCCCACACAGGGATGCCAGGCAGAGAGAGCTGCCGCATGGTCATCGAGAGCCATCAAGCCTCCTGTGTTCTCTGTGTGTGGCTTTCCCATTGCTGGGCCATGCACACAGGGACGCAAGCCTGGCCGTCTTGCTCAGTGCCCTTTATCCTCGAACTTCTCCTCAGGAGCAGCTTTTAGAGTGACACACATGTGCTCTTGACCCACATGGCCGTCCTGACTSGCCCTGGCTGCTGTGGGAGGTCCTGCCTCTGCTCCCTGAGCCAGGAGGAAGCAGGCCTTGATCTCCTTTACTTAACRCCTATCTTGGAGGACTTCCCAACGGAACCAGCGGGTCCACCCTGGGTGTGAGGTGCAGAACACTCCCACATCWCATGGATGGTCTCATCGTCCAAGCCAGCGTGGCCTCTGGCCTGGCGCAGGCTGGGAGGCACTTCCTGGGTCTCAGCTTGCACCCTGCAGCTGTTAGCCATGCCCTCAGCCAGCTGGGCTAGAGGGTCACCCAGCCCAGGCGTGGATGGAGAGCACCCTGCAGGCGTGGCCCTGAGCTGCCTCTTCTGGGAAAGACATCCTTCTTATGGGCACAGTGACCGTTTYCAAGTTGCTGAGTGTAATTGGATGTTTTCTGTCATTGAAGATCCCTGAAGAACACGACCTGGAGAGCCAGATCCGCAAGGAGCGGGAATGGCGGTTTCTGCGGAACACCCGCGTCAGGAAGCAGGCGCAGCAGGTCATCCAGAAGGGTAAGAGCAGCCAGCGGGGCGGGGCATGCGCACAGTTCTCCCTGGTGAGCAGAAGGCCCAGGAGGGTGCCTTGTGAGCAGCCACCTGCCAGACCCATGTGCAGCCTTGTTCAGCCCCCACTCYGCTGACACCCAGAGTACCCCTGTGCCCCCCTTGCAGTTAAGTCCTTCAGCAGGCTTGTGCAGACTGGAGCTGGGAGCAGGGAGGACCTGGCTTGGGGACAGGGGCGCCTCGGGGCAGAGGGGCTATTGGGACTGCACTTTCCATGGGCATGGTCACTCCAGGAGAGACCGTCAGCAAGGCCCTGGCTACTGGCAGCCTTTTTGGGGAGCATGACCTCTGCACTGTGGTGTTTCCAGAGGGAGGATACAAGTGCTTCTTAAGCCCTGGGGGTCCATGTCTCCCTAGATGACAGGGTGTCCTTTCCTGGGAACAGAAAACAAATACAGGTCTGGCCTCACCCAGTATCTCCACGTGGTCCTTGGAGTGGTCTTCAAGTACATCCCGAACTGCTTTCAGTCCCATTTGCACTAAACCTCCCAAATTAGCAACAGATGCCAGAAACCACCCCCTTGCTAACTACCTCGTTTGCACCATGAGGTGGAGGCAGTGAGCGACTGAGGACCGCAGGCTGCCGCCACTGCAGAGGACTGGCAGAGGGAGCTCCCAAGAGCAGGTCTGGGCTGCAGGCGGCCCCCCATGGAGGCAGTGAGCAGGAGGCCCCGAGGGCCAGCAGGGATGAGAGCCAGGCAGCCTCAGCCCAGGGCGCAAGCCCACGGCTTGGGATGCAGAGGTCATGCCTCCCCCACCCCTGACCTCACAGCCGGGCACCCTTGCCCACAGAGTGGCTGGGCCGGGGACCTCAAGCTGCTCATACCAGCAGTTGGTCCCAGCTGTAGAGGTGGTATGTGACTGGCATTTCTGGTCATGAAACAAAAAGCAAGATTTCTAGACATAAAAAGAACAATATCTTTATAAACCAGTTAGGAATTCCCTTTTCCAGTGTTTGTGACCAAAAAAAAAAAAAAGGATATTTGTCAAAAACACAGGAGAGGGGCTGGTGGTCTGCTGGAAACGGCAGCACACACGGCAGGGAGACGCCGTGGACATGGCCTGAGAGCCGCTAAGGTGAGCAGAGTCTCACCCTCTCCAGGCACCGCCAGCTCAGCACTGGGGCGCGCTGTGCCTGTTTTTATTTGAGAGCCACCTGTATGCTAGGGAAGATGTAAACAGTAAGTAGAAATGCAGTGCCTGTGGCTGAACGCAGTCAACAGGAGAAGCACAGTCGTTGCCAGAGGACAGGAGCCAGGAAAGGCCACCCAAGGCGACCCCGCCTCTGCCTTCGCCAGCCTCCACGTCCTCAGCTCGGTTCTGTGTTTGCTTTTAGATGTCTCCCTTCATCTTTCAGTGCTCAAAGCCATGCCCACTATTTTGGCTCTCTCTTACAAAAAGAAAAGGAAACTCCCTGGGTGAGAAGGAGGCATCTCAGGCTACAGCAGCTGGCTCCACCGACACACGCCCTTCGCCTGGGCAGAGCCCTCCCACCACAGACCACTCTCTTCTCCTTAGTGCGGCCTCTGTTGCTTGCTGACTTAAGAAAGAAGAGTCAGCGCACACCTGTAATCCCAGCTGCTTGGGAGGCTCAGGCAGGAGGATCAAAGGTTCAAAACCAGCCTGAGCAATTTAGTGAGACCATGTCTCAAAAAATAAAAAAGGCTGGGGATGTAGCTCAGTGGTTAAGCACCCCTAAGTTCTGTCTCTGGTGCCAAAAAGAAGGAGAAAAAAAAGAAGAGTTGGAAGATGGAGGAGTTGGCCGAGCCACTCACTCAGCTGAACACTGAGCAGTGCCGACATTCTGTGGTTGCAGCCCTTGGCACTGTGGTCTCAGGGCCACCTGAACAGCATAGGGCATGGGCAAGGGAAGGAGGCTGCCGTGTAAGACCCACAGCCAAAGTCAGCCCAGCCACCCACAGCAGATCAGCTGTGCCCAGGTGGGGGCTGCCCTCCTGCTGGGCTCCCCCGCTGCTCCACACCAGCACAGCTACACAGAGCCACCGGCTTTTCTCTGTCCACCCTGGAGATGGTCTCGCCAGCTAAGGAGGCATGTGGTCCCCAAAGCACCCAGATGCCAGGGCACACAGGAGTCTGTGGTCAGAGCTGGCCTTGCTGCCTTTCTCCTCAGGGCTGTGCAGAAGAGTCACCTGCTAGGGMCCCGCACCTGGTCCAAGCAAACCCCCGTTGTCCAACAGAAGCATATCTCAGCCCGTCCCAACTGCGTCTCTTGCCTCTTCTGGTTGTTTCTCAGGTGGGCTCTTGCAAAGCCCTAAGCGGGTATTTCCTTGTGCTGGTGTGAGGCCTGGTGAGGAACCCACACCCTCTCTGGCTAGCCTTGTGAGTCTGTGTCCTCTGGTCATGGACTCCTGGCTAGCCTCTCTCTGGACTGGAAGACCCCTTGAATGTGGTGCAGGTGGTGGCTGCCCCTGTCCCAGGCCTGAGCCCTGGGGCTTCATTCTGAATCCATACACCCTTCCTAGACCCCTCAGCCACAGATCTGCACTGCCATGAACACTGCTGCCGTCTGGCCTGAGGGCCTTGATGGAGCACTTGCCAGCATCAGCTCTGAGCCAGGGGCTCTGCTGTGAGCAGAGCACCCCTGCCCCTGGGATGCTGCCTCCTGGGGTGTGCTCTGGCCCCCTCCCTGGATCCTGCTTTGCCTTGGTCTCCTTTGTGCCTCTCCCGGCCCCCAGACACAAGCATTGACACTGGCCTTTCTAAAACATGTGGGTATTGCGGTCTACAAGCCAGCCCTGGCTCATCCTGCTTCCCCCCCACCCCCCGGCAGGCATCACCAGACTGGACGACCAGATATTTCTGAACAGGAATCCTGGTGTCCCCTCCGTGGTCAAGTTCCACCCCTTCACACCATGTATCGCCGTGGCTGACAAGGACAGCATCTGGTAGGCCTCACTCACGGACCCTACCTGGGGACAGCACCAGTGCCCAGCATCCCTGCGTTCTCCCCGCCATCCCCTGCCCACCCACCCGTGCCCCGCTCTAGTCATGTTACTGAAGGTGGTCCCTAGTTCCATAGGCCTCAGGACAGGGACAGGAGCCTCCAGACCTGCTCCATGATAAAGAAGCATGTTGAGGGGCTCCCACAGAAGAGCACCCAGGAGAAGGCGCAGCCCCGAAAGCCGGGCCTCACAGCAGTGAGCCTGGCTTGTGCGGTGCAAGGTACCCGCTGGTGGTGAGGTGGGCAGGGGCAGTGTCGTGACGCCTACTGTCCTCACCTGCTTACTCCACTTCAGTTGTGGTGAAATGTGACGTCCAGGCTGCCCACACTGGACGTTTCCATGCTGCCCCCAGAGCACCCCATCTTCCCAAATTGTCGCAGTCCCATCACACCCAGATACCCGCTCCCTGGCCTGGCTGCCCCCACTGTGCCCCAGATGGGCAACTCTAGGGACTTGTAGAAGTGACTGCAMAGCACTGCCCTGTCGTGCCTGGTTCATATGACACAGCAGTGTCCACGGCAACTTGCCGTGGTGTGGCAGGAGCGGGAGCTGCCTTGAGCCCTCTTCCACTGGAAGGGGAAGCATTTTCTCCCCCACCCCATCTGGGCCCCCAGCTGGCTCTGCACTGCAGTGGACGGGGGTGGACGTGTAGCCCCATGTTCCTGTCATCTCTCCATCCTTGGATGGGCCCAAAGGATAGGGGCTGACCTTCTGTGTCCAGCGGTGCTCAGGGCTCCAGCTTCTCCTCACTCCCCTCGTCGGTACCTTGGCTCTTGGTGGCAGCCGTCCCATGGGTGTGAGGGACCGGTGTCTTGCTGTGACTCTGTTTGCATTCCCCTGRTGGTCTGTCTCATTCCTCTTATCCCCTCAAGTTTTTGGGACTGGGAGAAAGGAGAAAAGCTGGATTACTTCCACAATGGGAACCCTCGCTACACCAGGGTCACTGCCATGGAGTACCTGAACGGCCAGGACTGCTCCCTTCTCCTGACAGCCACAGGTGAGTGGCCTGGCTGCACGCACCTGAGCCGCGCAGAGCAAGGGGGCCATGAGACACGCTGTTCAGTTTGTCACTCAGACCAGGGAGGCCCGGAGGCTGGGGCACTCGTAGTGGAGCTGCTTCCCTCGCATGCAGGGCCCTGGGTTCCAAAGCAGCCCCACAAAAAAGTGAAAATGAAGCTGAAAAGTGGGGTGTTTGTCAGGTGCAGGGGCACACTCCTGTAATCCCAGCAGCTTCGGAGGCTGAGACTTGAGGATCACGAGTTCAAAGGCAGCCTCAGCAAGGACGMAGCCCTAAGCAACTCAGTAAGATCCTGTCTCTAGGGGCTGAGGTTGTGGCTCRGTGGTAGAGCACTTGCCTCACACGTGCTGGGCCCTGGGTTCAATCCGCAGCACCACATAAAAATAAATAAGAATAAATAAACAAAATAAAGGTATTTGTCCGTCTTCAACTAAAAAAAAAAAAAAAA